ATTATAATATTATTTGGGTGTCTATGCGTTTAATCAAACAAAAATTGCACCCGTTACGTCTTTGTCGTCAAGTATATACTTAAGGAGGAAGTAACGTTTTCTCATTCTTAACGGGTTAGTATTTGTGCAATTTATAGTTTACAAATTATTCTCTCAATATCTGTCATAAGCCTCTTATCTTGTCCCGTCTTCCCGAATCAACTGTTAACTCTTAATCTTTTTTCACGACATCTCTCCGTCTCGTCCAGGGTCTTCGTTCCATATTGGTCTTTTGCCAATGATTCTTACAACTAAATTCAATCGTGTAGTCATAAGTTAGTTGAGAAGACTACGTATATAAGTAGATTTAGTATTGTATTATAATAATACCATTAATACCATATAATACCATATAATATATCCATTATACCAATAACGAAAATTATAACAAGGGAATAAAGGGACCATTCAAATAGAAATGTCGGTCGAGAAAACTATAAATAATTAGTACTCACATAATTATTATTACTAAATTATTGCTTCGTTTATGTGGTTCAAAACAAGATAAAATAATAAATCACAAAATATTCGTATACATTCACATTTTATTCTCGATTTAGTTAATGATTACTTCAGAAATGGGTCTTTGAAGAATTAGGAGTAGTGGTGGCGTTAACAATTCCGGATCTTTTTTTTATTCTATAATAAATTGGCAATCCAACTTTTTACATATCGTTCAAAACTCCATTCACTCAAAGGCGGACCATTTAAATTTATAAGAACAAGATTAAAAGATTCAAAGTAAATTACGATTGGATATTCGTGAGAAAAAAATATCAGGCGTGTACCTGCGAACATGGGTTTTTGAATGGGTGTACTTATGTTTTTAAAAATGATAAGTGAGTACACGGAGTATACCCACGTATACCTTCCAGTACACCATTGCAGTTTTAATGCTCGTTAATTATTCCTCTATATTATAATGCCCTCCAAATTATCTACTCGACCTAACCGTTTCAAGCTTTTACGAGTAAACCTAAAAATATCACCCGCAAATTTTGTAATAATAAACAAATTTAAATGTTCTACACCGGTCGGTATTTTGTTTGTTTTGGTATTTTACCGTAGGCTCAATATGACGGGCGGCGGCGGGTCAATTTCGCGGGTCGATTACACCGCGGTCTTCGAAAAGACGAACCGTACACAAAGCTCTACGCGTTTCGCGTACGAAATATTCTGCAAACATAATTTTCTAAAAAAAAATATTATCCAATCATTTAATTACGGTTTGAAGCCCAAAGTAATTAAAATACATGAAAGTAACTTATTAATTAATGTATACAATAATTCAAATAGACCAGTTGAATCATATAAACAGCGAAATTAGGTATAATAAGAAGACTTAAATTGATAATATTAGTAATTACACAACGGCAGTAATAATAATAATAATAATAAAGCTGGATTAATTCGTCCGAAATGATGGGTCCTCGTCGACAACCCGATTCAATCTAGCAACGGTCTGGTGAATGGCAAAGTTAGTGGTACATACAGGTGTAAGAAAAATAGAGCATTGTAGGAGGTAAGGGGAGTCGACAATAATGCCGTTTAGTAGCTTAAAAAGAAAATTTACATTGGCATTCTGTCGTCTACGGAGAGGGCAGACCAATGTGGGACTGAAGTATACTGGAGTGTACAATCGCGCGACACGCGTCCAATCGTTTAGTAGGTACGGAAACAGCGAAACTTAAGAACTTTCGCTGCGCACGCTCTAATTGCTTACTAAAACTCCGATTGTAATAAGCATGTAGAGTATAATTATTATTATTACAATATTCCGCTCCGATAACATTCGCAGTTTTTAAAATAAAACGCGAACATCGCAAATAATGACATAATATATTATTATGCAGGTATGCCTACTGCAATATTTTTATACTTATTATGTGTTTTTCCCGTTGTTACCGCACAATGCGGAAAATTGTTCGTGTTTGTCCGTATTATAGCATAGATAATATTATTATTATTATTATTATGTACCTGCACACGTATTATCGTTTTATAACCGCCGCGCGCGCGCGGTGTATACCTAATATTTATACTTTTTCTACAAAGGTATATGTATATTTTTGTTTTTTTTTTTTACCATCCGTTATACTGCCAACGGTTTTTACGTAGAAAAGTATATTACAGCCATCTCCATATTACACCTATAGTACCAAGGTAAGCGCACAACACCGCGACTATACCGCGGATGGCTGAACAATATGTACTGTTACATTCCTACAGACGAATTATGGTAATAACAATTATATATGCACATAGCCGTGCAGGTATCGTTATAATATAGTGTACATTTTATAGCTTCACGCGCTGTAAAATATAATATAATCGTACCTATATGTTATTGTTATGTACCCGCGCCACCACCGTGTAAACGCTTCATTAACTACGATTTTTTTTTTCTTTTCGGTTTCCTTTCGACGACCGAACCCGGAACACGCACCCGTGATGCGGACTTCTCGAAAAGGCGTAAAACCCTCTATAACATAATCTACGTAATAAATAAAATTAAAAAAAAAAAAACGCCGTCGGTTCAAAATCGTATAATTTAAACAATACGTTATAATGTACGTCACTTTTGGCGCGTAGCGTCAAAATAATTTGCCACCCCTTGTACAATATAGTATGTATAATATTAACAAAATTACATCGGCACACCTACACGATAACAATATCACTATCGCGATTCTTTAATTCTCAACATTCACTACAGAGGGCGTATTTACGAGGGGGCGAAGGAGATGGGAAATGGATCCCATCTTGACCTTTTGAATTTGAAGCGCGGCGTGAGATCTATTGATTTTACTATGATGTGTGTTTTTTTTTCTCTTTGTAAAAAACTTTTTGAAAAGAAATCTTTTCCGACGTATAGATCGCAATACCTTCTCTGGGAGGAAATTTTGTCTAGTTGGTGCATTGAGGCGGTTATTTTTTTGATTTTCTAATAATTTTTTTAAATAATTGGGAAAAACCCGAAAGAAAATTATAGGTAAAACGGCAAATGTTCCTTTTTATACTAAAAGAACGAAAAATTGAACGGAATATATAAAAGGAACATTGACAACACTGTCCTTCCTACTTAAACTTAAAAGTGGAATATCTCGTCAACGGATAATGGAAATTAAAAGTTTCAACGCCGAAATTTATCGTCTAAAACGGCATATCTATTTATGGAGGTTTCCGTTTTATGTTGGTAGTGGTTTCACACTACAATAATAAGGGTGGCAAATAATAAGAATAGTGTAACATTTTAGGACATGCGATTTCTAAGTATACGAGTGTAAATAACTTTTTTACTTTTATACTTTTTTATTGTGGTAACCGAAAATATATTTACGAAATACATAATACATAATAATATTATGAAGAAATATAATTCTACAGGAAATTTTCGGGGGCCAAAACAATAAGGGTAAACATATCTCGACTGTATACCAATAATTGATAATATAACACGGAACCAATTCACAAATGCACCGATTTGTGCATTGCAGCGCGCACAACTTTCCTATACTTTTGTAAATCTCGTAATGAAACGCGTATATATATATATATGGACACAGGTACTTATCCATTATAGCGATAATAACATTATAGAGACGTCATTTTTAAACTATAATGTTTCTTTGTATCGCACCGCGGAATAACAAAACCAGCGTGTTATATTGCGGAGATAGTTTTTGTTTTTTTTTTTTTTTTAGTAGGTGTAGATATGCACAGTAGGGACATACTGATGATATATACCTGTATGAACAAGGTGGGGGTACACAATAATACAATCATATTATACAAACCCATTACATACACGAGCCTTATTGTTTTAGTCGTTGTTATATAATGTAAGTATGTATAATATAGGTTATTATATTTTTAACTGCGGCGGTATGTTTTCTTACCACGGCTCGTGGTTCTCGCGGTATATTGCATTTTCATGAAAAAAACAAACCAAAACGATACGGAAATACCGCGCGTTGTCCGCGGAAACGGCTAGTAAGGTTAATGATTTTGATTGCTGCAGAACATACAACTACATGTCTACATCGTTAATCAGCGCTGTATTCTGAGCCCCTAACTGGTACAGTTTATTCGATTTTTGGACTGCGCGAATTCGGGTTTTTATTTCATTAAAACTGTTGCTCCATTCGAAACTATCACAGGGACTTCTTTACGGCATTTGGAATTTAGACGATACTTTAAAGAGATCGATTTTTTAATTACCTTTTCGCCTTTTCGTATTGGTAGGGAGGGGGCGAGGAAACGAAAATTTCGTACCGGGAGATAATGAAATCTGACGGCTGTTTAATCGCGATCGGGTGATCTCTGAATCGTATACGTGTAGCGGTAATCGGAATCAAAATCATCAGGGAAAAAAATCCCCGATCCTTAGAAAAAAAAAATAATCCCCAGGCTACAATATAGTACTCATAACTTCTTTTATAATTTTCAAACATTAAAAATAATATTTTGTTTTATATTAACAAATCTTGTGTATAGTTTTGTAGCTAGGTATAAGAACTTCAAATGTTACCTATTGTCGTATACAGTGTAGTTTGTACCTTTGATAATATATATTATAAAGTTATATACAACACCTATTGTATCTGTAATGGGCTCACGAACACAATATGGACAATCGTTATCTTAAAATAAATGGGTATGACCAATAAAAATTAGCAACGATTTTCAGTGATCCACAATTATAGGTCTCGGTACATATTTTATTTAATACATGACACATGGTGTAGCCACTGGATCGGGCGTGGCCATTGCACGACAGACGGCGTTTTCTACACAACCATATTCTCAACGCCCGAGTGCAATTTTTTTTGATTTTTTGGCTTCAGGTTATAAAAATAAAAATAAAAATATTTTTGAGGACTGACGTCAATCAAACATTTCGTAAGAACTTTCGATTTTTGGACAGCGTGGGCAAATGAATCGCATATCATTATTTTTCTTCACTACCTTCTCATTCCGGAAGTGGGTGATTTGCACGTCTGCTACCATCCTTGGGTACTGTAGCCGTTTCTCAAGCTCCCTCTCCGGAATTGAACCCTGGTTCACGGTTACCGACACGTGGTAGGTATTGGATCTACCACGACTACAGTCCAGATGCATTACTAAACAAATATTTCGGGGTGGGGGGAGAGGGTGGATTAAGGTTTTACACATTCATACTCTTAAATAAAATAAGTTTACATACTTTCAATTGTAGGATTATTTAATTTTCATTAAAAATGTCAATACTATAATGTCTATTAATACATTTTACATTTAATTTTTTTTCAGTTTATACAGTCTAAATGATAACGTAATTCATATTATTGTGATAATAATGCGAGCTATACTATATCGCCATATCAGTTATAATTTTCGAAAAGCAGTAAAACCACAAAAATTAGAAATGACAATAACAACAATATAAACCTACTGTAAGTAATAAAATAAAATTAAAACTAAAATTTTATATATCATTCTCGTTGATGGAAACCATTTTTGAGACTATTAAAAATCTACTTTCAACATGATTTTCACGAAATTTCGGAAGGGGGTTGAGCTTCTGTCGAATCTGCAATCGTACATTTTAAATTTAATAGTACGTTATAACATTATAACGAATTGAAAACGCCAGTGTTGAATGTTTTGCACAAAATCAAAATGTCGTTGTTATTAATAGTTACGAGTGTTACGAGATGACGATTTTTTGTGTGAGTATAGTGAGTATTTCGCAACAATGCGAACCGATGAGAAACTCGCGCCGTGCCGGTGGAAACTGTCCGAGAAGAGTTCGGGAAATGGTGGAAAACGTTATTCGAGAGCCGTTGAAGTCGACCCGGTCGGGTCGGTATTGCGTAAGAAAATCGTCCCTACTAAAATGCATCTGCGCGTAAACGTTCAGTTTGCGAGAAAGAGACTGAAAACTCACTCGCTAACCTAAATACCTAATCAAATGATAATATTTGCTGTTGTTCTGATATAATACCTATCTATACATATACATTATATTACGTTACGCGCGCGTACACAAACATCATCGGCCCCGTTGTTTACGACACAAACAACAACAGCCGCCGGGCTTGTACGGTCGCCGGGTCGCACGTAACCGTCGAGATTCCTCGCATAATACGTACTTGCACCTAGAGGCGCCTGCAGTTAGCCCGGTAAAAAAAAAAACCCGCGCACTGACATCGACAATATTGTTCTCCGCTTAATAAACTTGCGCGCGCCAGGTAAGTACGTAACGATAGTTTTGAATTCGACTCGCGCGCACGTACGTATATGATAATATGTATATAGTTGTATTACTGCAATAGTTGCGCCGGTGCCGTAACTAGGACCATTTTTCGAGAGGGGAGGGGGGTGATTAACGGTATTTGTCGTTTGTAATAAAAAAAAAAAAAAAAAATCATTTATAGATATTTTACAAATTATAATTAATTGTATTGTATTTATTACAATAATATTTCCAGTTTTCTTGGTTTTTTTTTTTTTTTGCCAGTTCGTCCATAATTTCCTAGTTGTTCTGTTATACAATAATTTTAAAAAAACAATAAAATAAAGGCCGACGCTGCTGATCGGTGGGTATGCCATTGTTTCAGTAGGGAGTATGTATGGAGAAATATTGGATTTATATCTGTATACGCGACGGTAAAACATTATTGTTAACGAAAAACGTACAGCGTGTATTAAGTGGTATTTTTTTTTATCTTGCTACGCCCGCGGGTAATCCAGAAATCAGGTTTGTGAAGAAAAAAAAACCCGATAAAAAAAAATTCAATCTTGTTTAATTTTCAAACATTACCGTCAAACGATTTTATCCACAAATAAAACACAGTAGCCACCAAATTAAAATTTAAAAAGAAATTCGAAAATTTCACATAATATTCTCAAATAAATAGCTTGAAAATCGGCAAAATGGTTTGCAAATTGTACCACGTCTAAAACTAATATAAGTATTCTGTGAATGATTTCAGGTCTCGGCGGGTTTTTTAAATGAATTATAATAAAAAAAATAATGAAACCATTATAATCCTGTTTTTTCAATCATTAAGAAAACTACAACGAAAATAAAAAAAAACAACTTTCTAACTCAGCAACTAAATCCAAAAATTAAACAAAAAATTTTTTTGCCTATTTTGATTAAACCAATATTTCTAATAGAAAAGTTGTTTATAAACAGAAAAAAAAATGTAAAAAAAAAGAAAAACTGATACACTTCGTACAATGGGTGAACCACCACTGTTTTAGGTGAAAAGTTGGTAAGGTAGGATGTAGAGAAGAATTTAATGTATATCTGTACGTAACGATTAAACATTGCTAACGAAAAACAATTCTGAGTGGGTTTCGGTTAAATATATTTTGAAAGGTTGTAATACTTACCGATTTTCGTCAAATTTGATATCGGAATTATTCTGATAAAAAAAAAATACAATAAACCCGCTGTTAAATTTTCAAGCATTTCTTTTTGGTCTATCAATCTTATCTACAGAATACCTACCAAATAAATATTGTGTGAAAACGTTACGAAATTTAAATGACTATGAATTGCTCAAAAATAGCAATTTTTTTTAAAAATTTCACCACTTCTAGAAAAGGCAAAATTAATTTTTCTGTTCAAATTCTATTCAAGTATCTAAATTAATATTTTTATCCCAATCACAAAAAAAAAAAAAACAAAATTAAAAATAATACATTTTCTGATTCATTCAAATCTGACTGGGGAGGTACTTTAAGGAGGTGATTTTTATGTTTTGATTTTCCCAGGAGTTTTCCTAAAAATGGAAAACCAAGAAAAAACCTAAGCAAAACGGGAAAATAGGTACAATATTAAACAAATATTATTAAAAAATATATAACGCCTTATAATAAAACGCCTAATAACAATTATAAAATATATAATTATTTGACCATAATATGACATATATATTATCGACGAAGCAACACTATCAACTGAACTCCGCTCAGAATCGTTTTTTCGTTGGCAATGGTTTATCGTTACTGACAGATATACATAAAATAAAAGGTGTGAATTTGAAAAACTATAGAATGTAGGGTAATTTTGTTAGGGTAGTCATCGTTTCCGTCAAATTAAATATTTACTATTTTAGAATTACCCAGGAACCACCACGAAAAAGCGATTCTCATTGTAACCATAGTTACCCCTTCTATATATTCTATTATTAAAGTCAATTAAATTATTATTAATGTAGTGCCTATTTACTGTGAATTATCAATTCTGGATAGTGGGATGGTGACCAAGCAAGTATAACGTCTTGAAGCGTTCGTATTATAAAATTCTTCTATTTGTTTGGAAACTATCGAATTAATCTATCGTGTATTATGGAAATATAATATAAGAGATACGAGTACTTACCTGTTCGTTTCCATTTATGACTTTAATTATTAGTCGCACACATGATTGTTATGTTATTTCGGAATTAACTATCTTACAAGTAATTACTATTGCCTATCCATTCTGCTTTAAGGGGATCGGGTTGCACCGGTTTTTCATACGTTTTAGACCAATGAGCGGTGACGTATTTCCCTATGTCAGATTTTAATTTCTGAAATATGTGTATGCATTTTTTGAAAAATTATGTGGGTTACTTAGAAAGTTGATTTTCATTTTTCAGTTTTGAAAAACCGCTAAAATGTATGATATTATTTTTTGACAACTTCACAATAATAACCACATCGAGAATAGACATTAAATAATCGAAACAATTTGTCAACAATCCATACATACCTAAATCAAAAATCGGACATCGGAGAGTACATCGAATTTTCTACCGTTTATTGGTCCAAAACAACATAATATTTTGCCGTAAAAATGGTCGTAGCCCTAATCTTAAAATAGGTATCGGGCAGTAGACAAGTAAATAACTATAGTTATAAAGATGGACATAAAATAGTAGAAAATAATTTTTAAATTTAACATAGTTGAAGAAGATTTGAAAAACTTGCTCTGACCCCCTAAAGAGGTTATGGTATGAAATTAGAGTGGTCATAATCTTTTTTAGATTCCGAGCGTAGCAAGGGAGATATTGGTTTACTTTTTCTTTGTTTTAGTGTGTGGACACGTTTTTTTCCCAGTAAACTTACTTCGATTTATACATGTATCAACTTTTCTGAAAGTCCAAGTTGTCTAGATTGTACTTTTATTGAAAGTCATTTTTTAATTTTCGTGGCCATTTTTTAAATAAAAACACTTAAGTAGGAAAAAACATGGGAAAACGTATAATTTCGTGATTTTATTATTTTATAAAAACACGGACGTTTTTTACCAAAAAAAATAACTTAATCGAAAAATCACTAAACATCTATTTTATTTCCTTTTTGATTTACTTTCTTACGGTATCATCACCAAAACGTTTGAGCCACTTTAAGGCTTTTAAGGAATTTTAATTTTTGGGAGTTTTTTTGCTGTAATTCGGTTATAAATACACGTAGACACTTGAAACTTGGTAATAATACTTATATAGGATTTAGTTTTCGGGGAAAGTTCCCCCCCCCCAGGATAGGTATCGACTGATGACACGTACAAATATAATGTCGTACGAGTCGCGCATGACAGGCGGCAATCTCACGCTGGACTTACAAGACCGCCTCGGGGTCACGCGACCGGGGGGAGGGGCCGGGGTTCGTTCGTTGGCGGGCCACGGACAATCTCGCCGGCAAAATTGGCGGGCGACGTGCCGGTCGCGAAGACACGGAAATACAATTGCCGCGGACCGTCGCACAAACATTATAAAATTGTGACGGGGGGGGGGGAAAAAAAAAAAAAAAAAAAAAAAAAACGGCCGGCGCGGGTACCTCGAGACACGGCATAGTACCGGCCTGCTTGGTTCGGTGCGCCCGCGACAAAAGACGGAATTGCCGCCGGAACGCCGCTGTCACCGTTTTATTTCGTGTCGCGGGAACCGATCCGTCAACGTAAATGGAACGAATAACGGCCACAGCGTTTTACGTTGGGAGGGCGCCGCGGAGAGCGTGCGCCGATCGCCGCCGAAGACCGTTCACAGTGCGACCGCGGGCGCGGTCCCGGAGAAAATCGGCTCGGCCCGCGGCCAAACACTTTGCCGCGCCGACTAAACGCGTTATTGTTGTCGCCGAAATAATAATACCGCGTCGGACGTGTCGCCGCGGTGTTACATTCAACAATCACCACGAAAACAGCGCGTTTTATGAAAGGAAATCCTCATTTACTGGTCATCGTTACGGTTGAAACTTGACGAATACCAATAAACATGTACGTGTCCATGTATTTTCAAAATACGGTCAATCGGGGGGTGGGGGGGGGCTTCAGTCCTTTGGCCTCCCCGTGCGTACGCCACTGTAGACGAACCACTCTAATGACAGATAGGAAACGTTTTCTACCAGAAAAAACGATTTAATCGAAAAATCACAAGAGACCGTTTTTGTTGCTTTTCTAACAGTATCATCGCCAAAACTTTTGAGCTTTTAAGGAATTTTAATTTTTGAGAGTTTTTTTTTTTTTTGCTGTAATTCGGTTATAAATACGTAGAGACTCGAAACTTGTTAACAATACTTATATTGGATTTACCTATCTGTGGTAAAATTTCTAAAAATATTATTATTCTTTTTTTTTAATAAGTATTTTGAAATCAAATTTAAACGAAAATCACAAAAAATTACGGCACTTCAAATTATGTATTACAGAACTACGCTCGGAATCGTCTTTCGCCAGCAATGGCTTGTCGTTGCTCACAGATATAAATAAAATAACTTTATGTATCCTACCTTCCCAACTTCCCACCTACAACAGTGGCTGCACCCGTCCCCAGTATCGGCTCTATTTTCTGTTTTCGGACTTTCAAATGCTTCGGGTGTGCTTCGAACACCTTACGTGGCGTGTATGCCGGTTTGATGTGGATCTGGAATGATTCTTTCATTTTCGCCATTCTTCCGGATTCCATACTGCGAGAATATTCGTTAGGTGTTTCGCACGTCGATTGTTCAGTTTTCGGGCGTCTTAAGCTTCAGTTCTCTTCACAAGTTCGCGAACTGACGTAGGAGACGCCGACGATTCGTTTTCATTGGACACCTGTATAGCTGCATTTTTCTAGAAACGATTGTAGGTATAGGCAGAACAGCGCAACTCGTAAATAATACGCGGGTAGGTACACGAATTAAACGCATACAACTTCAATCGAAATTGAATTATTAATTGTAATTTGCCAGTCAGAGTTTAAAAAACATTCAAACAAACTCAAAGTCCCCGTGGACTGAGGCCATTTATTGTTATTATAAGTACGTACTAAGTACTATAATACAAATCAATACAATTTTTAAATAAAATTTAGCATAGCATTTTGAAACGAATTTCACTCAGAATCGTTTTTCGTCAGCAATGATTTAAAATACCCTGTACGTTTATCCTAATTTCTCACCGACAACAGTAGCACACCCATGGTGCGAAATACCTACCTATGCCGTATTTTTATGTTACTGATATCGAAAAAATAAAAACGTTAATACACGCTAAATGTTCCCCAGTTTCCCTATAAATAAAAATAATAATAGGTACATTGAGTAGTAAACACACATGCTTGTAGTTTCCGGGTACGACAATATCCTGCGGAGTTTTAACCCGCTACCCGCATAAATGCATAAAATGAATTTTGTCAAACATGATTACATGAAACAATACCTAATTATTATTAATGTTATCATTTGAAAATAAAATTGATAAAAACCGAGTATACCCACAGATTAGATCTGTGGTATAAGTGGCCAAATGGGTCGTCTCGTCCTCTCGATCGATTATCACGGTTTCACGGTGCTAATGTTTTTTTTTAACAGAAAACTAACAGATAGCGTTACGATTCACTAGTATTTTGAGGTTATTCTTTTGCGATTATGCTTGTCATTTTATCAAAGAAAAATTTGTTTGTTGGTAAAGTTTTAAAACATCAATTTCCACAGTTCTGTTAAATTTTCAGTGAAATACAACTACGAGTAAGTACAATTTTAAACTATTATCCATCCAACTTATTGTATATTATTGTTCAAACGTAAAGAATTTATATGTACAGTGATATTCTTTGTTATAGATCATAGGTACCTATTTTACAGAAAAAAAAAAAAAAAAAAATTGTATTCATTTTTATAAATCATTACATATTTATATATTACTCAAGCATTATTATCTTCAAGAAATAATAACAATATTTATAAATTATATTGATTTAAAATCGTATTTGATCATTTTCATTTGTTCAAAGAGTATTGTTTGTTTGTTTTTTTGCAGAACTATGTCGACGCCAAATGAAACGCCTATAGCCAAAGTGGTCGTTCACCCTTTGGTGTTATTGAGTGTTGTTGATCATTTTACTCGTTTAGGCAAGATTGGAAATCAAAAGCGAGTAGTAGGTGTACTACTAGGTTCATGGCAGCAAAATAAAGTGCTCGACATATCCAACAGTTTTGCACTTCCATTCGATGAAGATGACAAGGATAAGTCTGTGTGGTTTCTCGATCACGATTATCTTGAAAACATGTATGGCATGTTTAAGAAAGTGAATGCTCGTGAAAAGGTAGTTGGCTGGTACCATACAGGTCCTAAACTCCACCAAAATGACATAGCTGTAAACGAATTAGTGCGTCAGTATTGTGTAAACAATACATCTGTTATGGTAATCGTTGATGTTAAACCTAAGGATGTCGGTATCCCTACTGAAGCTTACCGCGTTGTGGAACAAATTCATGATGATGGATCGCCTCCGTCCAAAACACTGGAACATATCGCAAGTGAAATCGGTGCGGAAGAAGCTGAAGAGGTCGGTGTCGAACATTTACTTAGAGATATTAAAGATTCTACTAGTGGTTCCTTAAGTCAACGTGTTGCTAACATTATATTCGGTGCTAGAGGCCTTTATAAACAAATGGTTGATATCAGAGATTATTTGCAGCAAGTCGTAGATGGGAAACTACCCGTAAATCATCAAATCATTTATCAACTGCAAGAAATATTCAATCTCTTACCGGATGTAGACAAGGATACTCTAGTTGCCGCAATGCACGTTAAAGTGAATGACCATATGCTCGCAGTATACTTAGCCACTATGATTAGGACTATCATTGCATTACACAATTTAATCAACAATAAGATTGCCAACAGCGATGACGAAAAGAAGCAATCACGGGAACCAGAAGAGAAAAAAGATGAAGTTGCAAAGAAGAAAGAAGTCAAAGCAAAATAGGTGGCTATAATTCAATTATATAATATAATTGTAAATAAATAATCTTAATAATTTTTTTTTTATTATTATTATTTAAAGTATTGCAAACATTTAATATAATTCGTACATATTTAAACTTAATATAATTATTATGCTGCAGATAATTTTTTTTATAGTTCAATTATTAATTTACTAACCTCACCTATACTTTAACATTACCCAATAAAAACAAAATCTCTGATTAACAATATTTGAACAAGCATCATTTCCTCCCAAAATTTTGTAATTTTTTCTGCAAAAAAATGTATATTTCGAGTGATGTACTAAGTGACCAACAATAAATGAATTTATCAGTCATAAAAAAAAAAAAATATTTCAATTATTTTTCTTGGTTTGACCACCAACAAATTATTTTGTTTTGTTTATTTTATTTTTTTTTTTTTTCATAGATAATCAATGTGAAATTCAAATCATAACAAATAATATAGGATTCAATATGCATTGTTTGTTTCGTAAAAAGTTCTTTTAGTACACTATAATAAATTTTGCAATTTTATATAAACATGCTCATTTAATAATTAAATAAACTGTTAAGAAATTTTAAGTAAGTACAATGAAATTCAATACCAGAACAGTAAATGATAGTATTTTCTTATGACAGTATGTTGTGAGTAATAGCTATCAATATGTTTTACATAATGTATTGAATAAATACTGACTAATTAAAGTCTAAACAAATGCATAATATGCCTCTGGATTAATAAAACTTTATCTTAGTTTATTATTACTACAATAATATTAAATATTTTGAACTCTCAAATAATATTATAGTCAGTTTTTACTGTATTGTGAACTGTTAACTGATCAATATGTTTAATTCAATAAGGTTAATTATGTTTATAGTTGTAAATCCGTGCTGTTTGATGTATTTTTTTGAAAACTAAAATTTGTAGTAGTCTCTTGTGACTTTTTTTTTAATATAATTTTTGTATACATTTTTGATTCGAGTGAAGCGACAAAACTTTTTATATCATATAAAATTATCAATACAAAATAGTATTTCATAAAACATTATCGATTTTTAATTATTAATAACTAATGCAAATAATTACGTGTTAGGTACCTATTGTCATGGATTTTATAATTTGTTGAATATTATTTTACCAAATATCATAACACCATGGGCTATATGTCAAATATAAAATCAATGGTATTAATGTATTAAATATTTAAAATATTAATAATAAGAAAATAAATTTAAAAGATTATAAATAAATATTATAAAAGAAAACATATTTATTAATAATTTTTTGTTTTTTGGGGTATTAACATCTAAAACAATATTTTGTTTATTATTTTTTTTTTTTTTTGTTATTATTATTATTAAACATTCAAAAGTCTGCAATTTTAAAAATAATATTTTTCAAAAAATGCTCCTATGAATATATTATTTTAGTTGCATACATAAAAATGTATTATAACACCGGATTGAAGAGGCCAATTTGCTAGATACACTAGAGACCTACAGTCATAGGCCAACAACAAGGTGATTTTAACATTCCCAAACAAACTGAGTTGAACGCGAAAGTTATTTGTACAACAATAAACGATGACTTGTACTATTTTTCTTCTTCTTAAAACAGAAGTTTGTTGGTACTTACTAAAACGTACAAAGAATTATATAATATATAATATTGATAATATACATAGTACAATATATTATAAATAAAATACAATTTCAGTGATGCCTATAAAATACTAGAAAAACCTGATAAATTATTTGTATCAAAATTAAATAATTTAAAATCAAATAGTTACTTACATTAAACATATGGTTTTCAAACATTGCTCTATGTATGTACCTTGGACGAAAAATAGTTTAAAAACAATTAATTTATATTATAAAATATAATAAGTAAACATATTTCTAACTACATATTTCCCTACACTCCGAATTCAAAAGGCATTTAAATAAAATAGACTTTGGTGCAGTTGTCATGATTGCTATAGAAATTGATGTATGAAAGCATTGTGTGGTAGACACTTAGGGAATATTTAGTAGACCAGTGGCAAAGTCAGAATTTTTAATTGGGGGAAGGGGTGAAAATACAAAAACTGTGCATTAATAATTTAATTTATTATTGTTATATTAATTTTGATCAATCTAATAAATAATGACACTTGACAGAGTAGGTAATAATTATTACTAGAGATAGAATGTTAATGACCTAAAAAACACACACAAATGCAAAAATGCTCCAAAAACTCCAAAGCATGCATTTAAAAAATAACCAAACGAATCAGCTTCAATGAGTGAAAACCATTTAATCTAAAAATAATAATTATGAATACATATAATATTGGTGTCAGAGAATTTAAAGTATGAATTATAAAATTAATAGACAATAGCTACTGAACATTTAAATTTTAAGTTTGATTTACAGTAAAAAAATAATTTTCGAATTCCGGCATATTGCATAAAATCTTTCCAATATAAAATTCAAAAATTCAATGAAACTTGAAAATTTTGTATGTAAATACCAAAAATTACTACTAACAATAGTTAATTTTACAATTAATACGTCCATGTCAATTTAATCTTGTTTATTGGATTTATTGCATACAATTCATAATAAATATAATACTCGATAATCGATTAGGTTCGATAAGTGTGTATGATAAATTATAACATGGGAACGGTAAAGCAGTAAATGATACGCGATCAATTTAATCACAACAAAACTATTAAATATAAATGCTTGTATAATTTTAAATTTTTACAAAAACTTAAATAATATTTATTTAGAAAACACAGACATCCTATGGTAATGAGGGCAGGTGTAGCCATTGTTATGGATAATTTAATGTATACCTGTAAGCAACGATAAACCATTGCTTACAAAAAAACGACTCTAGAGGGGAATTCAGTTGACAGTGGTGCTTTGTCAACAATATCATACTATAGTAAAATAATTTAATAGGTTTTAAATATTTGTTTAATGTTGTACCGTTTTTCCTCAGGTTTTTTTTTTGGTTTTTCAAATTTGATGAGAAAATCGAAAAATGACCTTTCTTAAGTCCTTCCTCAATCCGATTTACTTTCAGAAAAGATGCTACACATGTAAATGTGAACAAGTCTTCTGGTAGAATAGTTGCGCACAGATAAAAAAAAAAATAATAATAATTAAAAAACTATCTTATTAAAACCATAAACTTTTTCGCTCCACTCAGAATATAAAATTATACTCTTTCTTTTTTTTATTTTTAATTGATTTTTTTTAAAAAAAATTTGAGTTTGGCCCTTCTTCCACCAAACCCCAGATTTAATTTAGCAGATTATCTTAAATCACGAATAAAACAGCACTGCACAATAAGTGCATATACATAATAACATTAGTTAAAAATAATTAATGACAAATCGATAAATTCAATGATAAAACACGATTTTCAGGTAGAACCATGTCAATTGTAGACCTTATAATCATAGGTATAATGCCTGTGGTGTTACTAGAGAATATGTGCAGCTGCCGATACCTACAATACACACCGGGTTCAGAGATCGTTCAAAGAACGCCTATAACCCTAAACCATTGATCATTTTGAATAAAAAAAAGTTACTATCGAACAAATTGACAAGAATAAAGAGCACTGAACGCGTGAAATAATATATAAATACATAACTACGTTGAGACGGCCAATGGTGGTGCACGGCCCACTGGCTCCACCTCATGGCTACGCCACTGTAGTAACTATAGACCACGTCTTGTTCGTGAACGGTTTATGTTTTATGTACGCAGTAGTAGTAATTAAAAGTGTTTTAGACTGCGGAAAGTTCGATAAATTCCAAGAAGGACGCTGCTTATACGGAATCTAGTTGGCGAGCCCTAGTTTATGGTTATTACCAACAAGGTTACAAACAAGGGTGGGTGAGTGGGATATAAAATTGCAGGTTGTTCTAGGTAGGTACTTCACGCCCTCGCCGGCTATAGGTAGGTATCCACGTCTTAGTGTTTTAAACTTTGGAATTTTCAGCGTTTTCCCGTATCACGGTTCCGAATGCGTCGACAATTTTCTTTTGCGCGGTTCCACATTTCAAAGAGCGTGGTACATTTTACAGTTTAGACAATAACGGTTGCAGCATGATTGTGCGTTGCCGCATATTTTATGCAAATGTAAACTCGACATTTTTTGCGTAAAGAATGCGTGTTTACTGTTCATATTAATTTCTCTATACGGGCTCGACTTGCAGTTGCGCGCAGGATGCGTGTTTATTATAGGCCGTTTTCGAATTGGTACGGTGGACACGTACCGGAGGCGACGAAATTATAATATTTTCGGAGACGTGAGTGTATGACGTCGTTATTCGAGCGGTTTTCTGGTATAAAACCGCAACGATATCGGAGTCGAATTTACAGTAGAGAATATATTATTATTATTTAATATTTATACTCACGTGCGCAGACTTATTTCGTAGCGGCATACGGATCAAAACGCCGGTGAACAAAATAATATGCGCCTCCGGAAAAAATACAAATGCCCCCAAAATAAAAACATGTACAATATATTCGCAAGTAAAAACCGTTATATTAGTGGATATACTGAGTAGATACCTATCTAACTACTTCTTATAAGCATGGCCCGATTTACGCAAGTGCAGATGGTGCATTTGCACTTGGCCCCCGAATTCCTAGGGCCCCGCAAGCTGTAGAACATCTTTCTTTTTTTTCTAATCAAATCCACATAAATTTATTTTGTGAAATGTAATAAAATCTAATGTTCTAAGTTCAGTAAATTTTTTTTTCATTAAAATTGTCAGTTATTATTTTATTAAGAGTATTGGTTATTGTTGCATTTATCAGAACCATCATAAAAATATTAAAATAACTAAGAGTAATAGAAATCTTTGAACCATCGAAATTATTTTATACCTATGAATTATTTATAGATTTTTCGGATATTTACCCAGTATTATCGTATCAATGAAGTTATGTTAGCACTAACTGAAATCAGTGAAGACAAAAATCAAAAACTGGGTACACAATTTTATGCAAAAGAATTGAACAAAAAACTGAAAAAAAAAAAGAAACTGGTATCACAACTAATAGAATGGAATTCTATTTTATAACGAATTAATAATACTGGTATAGATTTGCAAAAATCTACTGTTAATTTAACTGTTGTTTCTGTGTGTGAATCTTTGATTGCGTTCACTTATAATGTTAGAAATAGTTATAATACCTTTGAATTGGAATCTAAAAGCATAAACATTAATCCAGAGATTTCAGATAAAAGAAAAAGACCACCTTCCAAGTCCAGAATGTAAGATGTTATTGCAAATAACCCAAGAATAAAATGACAAGATTATATTGTAAACACATTATATGTTCTTCGTGATAGATTAGTTTCTGAGCCAGTAAAACGTAATTATGCTTATAATAAACTATTGGAACGAAAATTTGGTTTCTCGTACAAAAATATGACACGCTCGGATATTGTTAACTCAGTTAATTTAATACTACAAACGTACTCAGAAGATTTGGACTATGAACTAGTAGATGAGCTTATATAATTTCAAGAACTAAAAGAAATAGTTTTTTCAGAATCCTCATGTAAAATTATAAACCCTCAAAGTCAATAAAAATATTTACGTAAAATGGATATCCGGCAAACATTTCCTAATATTGAAATATTATTACAAATATACTTGACAATGTGTACCAACTGTTCCAGTGAGAGATTTTTTTCAGCATTGAAACTAATAAAAACACGTCCGAGGTCTTGTATGAAACAAGAACGTTTAGACGGGTAGTCTTTGTTAATTATTGAAAGTGATGTTACATCGTCATTAAATTTTGACTAGGTGATTGAAACTTTTGCAGTGAAAAAAGCAAGAGAGAAGTCGTTGTTAAATGAATTATGCGAAACTGCAAATTAATTAATATTATATATTTTTAATGTTTCGATATACTTTGATTTTATAATATCATTTAATTAGTATTATATAGTTCTTTAAACTAATTTTTTTTACCAGAAATCTTACTCCAATCAAAAAAAATTACAAGCTTTGTTTATTTATAGAATTTTATAGAACCTCTGATCTAGATGGTGCGTTTTATGATTTCACAGTAAAATAATAATGGTAACAAAGGACCGCTCCGATTCCTTTAAGGCAGAACGGA